TAAACGGGCCCGATCCGAATCCTACAGGCAAGCTGAGGAAGCAGCGGAGGGCGCATTCTCGTCTGCCGTCATTGGGAGCTGGTAATAATCCTAGGCCGTCCGCTTGAAGGGTTGGACGTTGGTTGAGAACGGCTCTTGTCCTCCAAGGTGTTGAGTGTAAGTTTAGGGTCGAGGGAGGCTGGTGATGATCCTGGCTTCTTTTCTGAAGCAGGCTTCCCGTTACCCAAAATTTCGGGAGGATCCAAAACGTAGATCCCTTAATTGGGGTTCCTGTGAAGTACCCTTAGTAGTATAGGGCCCCAGATTAGGGGATCTACTTTCTAGATCCTCCCGGGGATCAGGCTAGAATTACGATGGCACTGGGCCGGAAGCTAAACCCAATACTCGAGTCTCATTCTACTTTCGCTTGTTGCCGGCCTCACAACCATCTCGCTGCTTCTTCAAGCTTGAAGGTATGAGGGTTTCAGCGGTTTCGCTCTTTCCTGAACTCCTTTTTTCCTAGTCCAGGGTATCGGATGTTTAGTTTAGGGTTGACGGGGGTGGGTTGTTTTCGGTCCCAGAGCCTCTCCACAAAGGGAACCCCTGAAAGACAGGACCTGAACCCTCACCCTTAAACTTCGATCACAAAACTCCCAATAACAACCGACAAAAAACAGCCCAGTTTTCAAACCGTAAAGCCCGAGTGCCCTCCGGCACAAGAACAATACAGCTTTCCGTCAAGACTCGTTTGGCCCGGGTAGCATTGCCCCGATCTGCGGGGGTTTGAAGGCTGACAATTCAGGACGAGGTTGGGGTTCGTGTAGTAAAATATGTATGGTATATTAGAGTATAGTATATTAGAGTATAGCATAATTTCGTATATTGTAGGATATTATCGACTGTTGTAGTGCTTGACCACATGTTGTGGGGGGGGGTTGGGATACGGGCCTTGGCAGTCTACATGGATGCCTCCGAGCTCTGGCCCAGGGTTTGTCTTCGATTGTTGGGTTCTTGATACAGAGGGTTCTAGATGGGAGTTGTCGAACAATGAGGGGTACCTTATTTTGGGGTCCTTATAATGGGGATCCTACCTTTCTAGGGTACTATATTATGGTCCCCTCTTTTCGGCAACCCCAGATGGGTTGCTGTAAGGGTTGCCAACAAAGGCTTAGTATAGACGGCATGAAGAATTAGAGAAGGCTTTGTGGTGTCATTGCATTACATGGGAGTTTCCGAAAATAGCGGACCCTAATATAGTATCCTACATAGTAGGTTTCTTATGATAACGACCCCAGGTACCCCCTAATTTTCGGAAACTCTAAAGCCCTACAGGGCCCTTTAACGGGACCCTTATAGTACCCGTATAGTAACCCGTTAAAGGAAGCCTAAGGTACCCCTCAATTTTCGGAAACTCCCACATCTTTACGGCCCCCTAAACCCTAAACCCATATAGGTACCTAGGAAGCTCCCACATCAGATTTGTTCACACAACTCTCTGGCCACCTTCGTCGGCTGCGGCCCGTAATAAGGGTCGATCTTCACAACGACCGGGACGCCGTCCTAACGGTCAGGCTTAGGGTTGTTTAGGGTTTGGGATTTAGGGCTTCGGGCTCAGGGTAACATTATAAGGGTCTTAAGAAGCAGAATATGGTTTTTGAGGTCCATTATACTATAATGATAGTAACGAACCCCCAAAATTTAGGCTCCTAAATCAGAGGGATCACTGATGGGATGGCATTTGATCCGGCTATAAGTCTGCGTGGGGTCTCAGACATGCGGCGGAGACCTTGCTCCTAAACTTTCTAAACCTTCCCTAAACATCGTGGCTTAGATGCCTGAAGGCCAAAACCGCATTCAGACCTGCTCCGAAGTCCCAAGCAGCACACGTCCATAATCTGGGTTGGCCTTTAAACACCCTGAAAAAGCTTTATATATAGGATCCCTGATAAACCCAAAGAAGAAAACAAAAAATGTCCCAAAATCCAACCTAGTAATCCAGTGCCGAGCGGCAAGGTCAACGGTCACGGAAGACACGCCCTTGTACAGCTGGCCTGTGGCAACAGCTTCAAGTCTGGGAGAGCCAACAGTGTGTTTTAACGATGTGTTTGAAAGCATGCATGTATGCATATATGCATGCATGCCTGGCTGTCTGTCTGTGTGTATGCATGTACGCATGTCTGTATGTACGTCGGTGTGCAGGTCTGTCTCTATGTATGTACGTATGTCTGTATGTAACGAGGCGTGCATGTCTGCTTGTCTGTCTCTGTCTGTATGTACTCACACGTTGTATGTACTCAGAGACTCCGTTATCCCTAAATCAAAGAAAACGTTGAATCATATTAGGGACCCCACTGTAATTTCAGGTATATTCATCAATTATGGGATAATGGAGTCTCTGCGTATGTATGTATGTTTGTATGTATATGTGCTTGTACGTCTGTATGTATGTATGCATGTACATGTTTTTGTATGTATATGTACGTATGTACGTAAGTACATACGTACGCATGTATGTATGCATACATGCATGCATGCATGTATGCATGTACGCATGAATGCATGTATGCATGAATGCATGTATGCGTGTATGCATGTATGCATGTATGCGTGTATGCAAGCACGCATGTATGTATGCATGTGTGTATGTACGCATGTGTGCATGTAGGTACATACTATAGTAGGTAGGTAGGTATGTAGGTAGGCAGGTACTTGAGTAAGCAAGTCTGCAACTGCGTACGTAACCAAGTGCGTGAGTACATGAGTACGCAAGTCCGTAAGTAAGTAGTTATGTATGAGTATGTATGTATGCAAGAACCCAAGCAACTAAGTACTCAAGTATGTACTCAGGTGAAGGAAGTGAAGCGAGTGGGTGGGTGGGTGGGTGGGTGGGTGAGTGGGCAAGTAAGCATGCAAGTTTGCATATAAGTAAGCTACGTAAAGCGGTAAGTATACATGGATACATGTGGTATTTATGCACTCATCTGTGTGCATAGGTACATAAACACATAAACAATTGCATACATACATACATACATACATACATTACATACATACATACATAAATACGTACTTACATACATACATACATACATACATACTCACATAAGCAATCGCTCACAGAATCACTCATCTACTAGTACTGGCATGCGTACATACATACATGCATACATGCATTCATGCATTCATACATACATACGTACGTACATACAAGCTCACACATGACTGTACTTGTGTGGATGTCTTTGCAGACGCACACAGGTGCAAAAGTGTACCAAACAAGGCCCACACAAGCACGTACTCACGCGCACACACTTACATCATGTAGCTCGACTTGCGTCGAGCGCTTTTTGGGTTGCAGGGGCTGAGGCTCGAGGCTCGGTGCTTCACTGAAATGCAGCTGACGAACCCCAGACCATGATCTCAGATCTTCGCAAGCTAGCAAACCCTCGTGCCCCAACACAAGCCTTCAGAACCTCTTGATTGCCTTATGGCAACATGCCAATGCCATCGCTATCTTTAGCATCGCCACCAATTCAACCTCGTCCTCATCCTCATCCTCATCCTCATCCTCATTCTCATCATCGTCATTACCACAAGCAACAGCATCAAAATAGAAATAGTCATCGTCGTCGTGAGTATAACCTTCAGCTGCAACAGCAACATCACTGCGAGCAACACCCTCAATATTCTAGACCTACACGCCATTGTGCCAACCATCCGAAAAAAGAATCACCATGGAGGCGTTCACCGTCTGCGACTACATCACCATAAAAGGTGTTCTGCTTTGGGGCCTAGAATAGTCGAGTCCCATCTCGGGGAAAATACTCCCCCTTTTAGACTGTCTCTCTGATCCGCCGAAGCCGCACAAAAGCTGAGTCATCACCCGTACTAAACACAAACCCTGCAAGCCTCGAAAAGAAGATGCCCGGATCCATGCATACAGAAACACAGACATAAGTATATAAACATATGTAATCAGTGTATGTGCGCAGAAAAATGAGGGGCCCCATAAAGGAACACTGTTCCCATTTGTTCAGATGCCTGGACTGAAAGGGCTCACTGCCGACTCGCCGGACATGGCTCTGCCAGAAATGCCCCAGTCCGATAACCCCAAGAACCTGCAAAGCCCTTGGGGATCTAAGTTATAAACAAATCTAATTGTTTTTGTCTGTATATACATATATATATATATATATATATATATATAGATAACTACATTTATATATATATATATATATATATATATAGATACCCACACATGAATGCATGCACACTCACTGTGTTTAAGTTTATGAATATCTATTTCTCCTGTAATCCGTGGGCAGGTCAAACCTAGTTCAGCAGCTTCAGGAAGACGGACCCCTCTGGAATCCATTGCGCTCCAGCCCTTTGCAGCCCTTTCATTGATGAAGCCGATGGTTGCTAGAGAGAGAATGGCTGCAGAACGGTTGAACGGCCGCTTCGGGCATGCGGCTCAGTGACCCTGCAAGGGCTCTTATAGATCCCTTATAGAACCCTTATGGATCCCTTGAAAGGAACCCCCACCCCCAAATCCACCGAAAAAGGAGCCTTCCATAGCATTCTAAGGCAAAAAGATAGGACGATGCACCCTGATGCAGTCGACCAGCGTGTTGAGGAAAATCGCCGTAACATAGGGGCCTTGATAATTAGACGAGGGTTTTGGGGTATACTACACCATAATGAATAGAAGGAAGCCCCAAAATAGTATTGGCAATGATTCAGGCCCCTGTATTGAGCATCCGATGCCGGTCGTGGGGCTGCCGCTCACCAAGTTCCTAGACAAACTTTGAGCCCAGCCGCCATAAAGATGCCTTCAAAGAGCTGTGTAGGAATGCAGCATAAGGCGTAGGCCTTTTTAGGGCTTAGGGTTTAGGGAGACACAATAGCCATAAGTCGTCTCATACAAACCCATGCCACGACTCTAACTTCCGACACCAAACCCGACCCTTTTTGTCCCCCGCCCCCTTCGTCCCCAGCGGTTCTGTGCTGGGCTCTCGCACGGTCGGATGCCACGAGTTGTCATCAGCTCTTGCAGCTTGAGTTGCACTAGCTCCTGTAGGGTTTAGGGCTGGGGCTTGGGATTTAGGGCAGGGTTGGGAGCCAAAGAAGTTCGGGTCTGTGGGGGGGTCCTGTTAGACTCTTGTGGTTCTACAGGATCCGAGCACTGCCGCTGACGAAGGCCCCCGGGATTTCGCAGCTCCTTGACCTGAACACCTAAAATACCGAGAGCGATGCCTGCATTTCAGTTCAGGACTCCTAAAACTTCTCTTGTCGCCGCCACAAGCCCGGAAACCCCAACTTTCAAAACTCTGCAGGCATAGAGAGTTCGTGCGTAGTTTACAAGAAGAGGCCATTCTATGCCTTCGATAGAAGGGTTTCGGGACAGACATGCGTTCCTAATTTCACACCCACCCAGAGGATGGTCGGTCACCGGTATTACTTCTCACTTGGAGTTCATAAGGGCGCCCGTCCAGCGAAGCATCTGCAAATATGGTGAAATCCTATCTGGGAGTGCCCCCAGACAGCTTCGGGGGATTTGGGGTAGTTGTAGGTACAAGCGCAACAGCTTCGGTAGAATACGCCGCTGACAAGTTTCGGCGTTTAAGGCCGCTGCCGCGGGCAAGTCCGAATTTTCTGTCGACCATAGCGAGGGGGAGCAAGAAATCTGATGTTACCCTTCTAAACCTTCAGCCTCATCTGCGGAGTCAATGCCTGAGCACGACAGTAGCTCAACACGAATCCTACTTAAACCCTGTAAACTGCCGCTACAACGGGCCGCCTCGGCCTGTTGGAGGAGCTCCTGGGATTGGAGAAGAGCTTGAGGGCTTTGGAGGGGTTGGGGACTGTGGGCCTTGGGTTCACTGATACATCGACTATACTACAATGACGACAACGACCACCACAGTACTACTACTCCTGCCGCGACTACTGCTACTACTACTACTACTACTTCTACTACTACTTCTTCTACTACTACCACTACCACTACTACTACTACTACTACTACTACTACTACTACTACTACTACTACTACTACTACTACTACTACTACTACTTACTACTACTCTACTACTACTACTACTACTACTATACTACTACTACTGCAGTAGCTTGCTACGGCTGCTGCTGCTGCTGCTGCTACTGCTGCTGCTACTGCTACTGCTACTGCTACTGCTACTACTACTGCTACTACTACTGCTCTGCTACTACTACTACTACTACTACTACTACTACTACTACTACTACTACTACTACTACTACTACTACTACTACTACTACTACTACTACTACTACTACTACTACTATTACTACTCCTACCACTACTACTGCTACTACGACTACTACTACTACTACTACTACTACTTCTTCTTCTTCGTGTGTCAGCCACCTCTTTTTCACTGCGGCACTAGTGTCACCACGAGCCCTACATGAGCCCACAGCTCGAAACCATCAACATTAAAGCCCAGAACCCGAAGCCCCAAGCAGGAAGCCTTTAACCCATAGACTTCCCAAACGTCTGAGGCGACTGTCCTGAACTGAAGGTCCCTAAACCCTTTTTCCCTTCCTACTATTCGGTTTTAGTAAGGGGGCCCTAGAATAAAAAGGGCCAAAGGGTCATATAATGACAGTATAATGGGCCCCGAAACCCTATGCTAATTATTGTTAAGTCCCCTAAATTTCTGAACTTGCACCGCATGTCCTCCGGGCCGGTGATGCGGCAAATCTGGCACGAGGGCAAGGTTGCTTCACGTCCATTCTTTGATGACGACGATGGTCAGGGTGATGACGATGGTCGTGATGATGACGATGATTATTGATGATGATGACGACGATGATGATCATCATCATGATCATGATGACCCTGATGATGATGATGATGGTGGTAATGATAATGATGGTGATGATGGTGATGGTGAAGAAGAAGATGAAGATGACGATGACGATCACGATCACGATGACGATGATGCAGACGGTCATTGCCACAGGCAGGCTTTGATGCTACAAAGCGCAAGGTGAGCGTTCGAATTTTGGCTGCGACTCAGTATGTATGCACTCTACTTCCTGCAACACTAGAAGTATTGAGCCTGAAGCCAGCGCGAATAAGCCCTCAGTTTGGAGAGCGGAAGTTGCAAAGGTCTGCAGCGATTCGGCACATCAGGTCGACTTCAGCATGTCAGAACTCGCGGCTCGCGGCATAGCGTGTTTTGAGCAACGCGGCTACCCCGCAACCCTGAACCCAGGACCGCTACAACCTTAAACCCCAAACCCGCATGACCCTAAACTCTCACAGGGTTCCTTTAAAGGGCTGCATGAGGGTTTAGGCTGTCCTTATTTTAAGGATCCTACCATTCAGGGTGCTATATTAGGGTCCCCTATTTTCGGCGGATGCCCCAAAAAACCAAGAGCCACAAGCTTACCTTTGGTTAGTAGGGAATGGAAGAATGGCAGTAATAGTAGTAATAATTGTACCTCATTCCTCTATTCCCTACTAAGCAAAGGTAAGTTAAAGGGCCAGAGAAACATAGGGGCATATATAATTACCTATACTATTTTGGGGGTTCCTTATTCTACTTGTAGTATAATGGGCCCCAAAACCCTATTCTAATATTAAGGCCCCTATAGTATAGAACCCTATTATAGTTTTGTTATTAGACTTGTAGTATACTTGTAGTATAGATCCCTCTAAGGAACCCTATAGATCCCTTTAAGGAACCCTATAGATCCCTTTAAGGAACCCTATAGATCCCCTTTAAGGAGCCCTCTATAAGTTCCCACCTAACCCAAGGTAAGCAAGGGCTGAAAGGACTGCCGGGCCTGAGGCCCTCCTTGGACTTGTGGCTGCCTTGGATGACGTAGCTCTTGGGCAAACCGTGGCTTAGGGGTATAGGATTTAGGGGTTTAGGGGTTTAGGGTTTAGGAGTTTAGGGTTTAGGGGTTTAGGGGTTTAGGGGTTTAGGGTTTAAGGTTTAGGGTTTAGGGGCTTAGGGGTTTAGGGTTTAGGGGTTTAGGGTTTAAGGGTTTAGGGTTTAGGGGTTAGGGGTTAGGGGTTTAGGGCGTTTAGCGTCTAGGGTTGAGGGCTACCTTGGGGTAGAGTATAGAGGCCTGATTGTAGCATAAGCGAGTCTATACGTACGCGGACATCATGCAGACCTCTACATCACTACTATAGTTCGGAGTTTCAGCTTCAGCACGGGATTTCGGGATAGTAAGACGTAAGTCTGGGCACAGCGGTCAGAACACTCTTGTACCCCGAGTAACATAGGGGCCGTAATCATGGGAATTTGGATGCGGCTAGAGTAAACTGCCATTATGTCATGTGGAGACTGTAAGGAGATACTATTATCTTTACTTCCGACCTCTTTATTAGACGACGGCCTCTGAAGTGGAGACAGCTCTACAATTTAAGGACCGACCGCCCCGGAAAGGCACAACAAGTGTTGTGCAGCTGCGCACCCGACAATGCTCGTACGATGATGCTCTGAAACACAGAAAAAACGAAGAACATTGTGCAACCGAAACAACCAAGGAACCACCGCGACGAGAGAGACAGCAGCGCTCTTTGCAAGGCTGTAAATATGGCTTTGCACCACAACGTGTACATATATGTGAGTGTGTAGATACACATATATATGTATATATCACACCAAATAAAATAGAACAAACAGACAAATAAATACATAAATACATATTATATATATATATATATATATACATATATATATATATATATATATATATATACTATATATATTATATATATATATATATATAGTCAAGGTCTCAAGCTTTCGGGCCCCGGGCAACACCGAGATGTGGCACTGCCCTGGCAACGGAAATTTCCCAAACCCAAACTCGAAGCAAACACGGCTCTTAGGGCTCTTAGGGGTCTTAGGGTTTAGGGATTTTAGGGTTTAGGGATTTTAGGGTTTAGGGTTTAGGGTTTAGGGTTTAGGGATTTTAGGGTTTAGGGTTTAGGGGTTTAGGGATTTTAGGGTTTAGGGTTCCAAAGCTGACGAGAGCTTTCGGAATCTCGAAGCTTCGCTGGGGTTTGCAAATTTGGGGCCCTGCTTGTTGGCTTTGAGGCTCAGGGTGGAGCGCTATAGTACCCTTATAGATCCCTCATAGTAGCCCTTATAGACCCGTTTTAAGGAGCCTTATTCTAGTTATTAAGGCCCCTATGGAGCGGTCTGCAGGCTGCCGCATTCATGCATCTTTGTTCTCCCGTGCGGCTACGTCCAGGATCTGGACAACATGCCGGCTACTACAAGGACCTCAAAATACGTATAGAACCTTATAGATCCCTTAAAGGAACCCTTATAGATCCCTTTAAAGGTACCCCTTATTGGTCCCACCATGTTCGCAGCTTCACAGCGACGGGATTGTCTGCGGAGTGCTGCAGCTTCCGAGGTCACATCAGAAAACAGGAAAAGGGGCTCTGAGGTTAGGGTCTTCCGGGTAGGTTTAGGGTTTAGGGTTTTAGGGTTATAGGGCTTATAGGGTTTATAGGGTTTTAGGGTTTAGGGTTTAGGTGTAGTGGCTTAGTGTCCAGGCTTGTTTCGGGCTTGGACATATTCCTCAACCCTTGAGCCCTAAACGCTCTTGGAGATACCGAATCTAAGCCTAAGGCTCATGCTTCATTCGAAATACATGTCAACTTGAACCGTTCTACACTCGAAGTCGACTCCAATTTCGACAAACGAGAAATATTGTACATTGAGCACAAAAACAGGAACTTATCCTTGCATCTTTCCACCCTTCCGTCCTTGCGTGCCTGCAAGACAGACGGACAGACAGACAGATAGACAGACAGAAAGACAGAAAGACAGACACAGACATACACACGCATACAATACATACACAGAGACACACACAGACTTCAGGTGCGCGCACACACACACAGAGAGGCAGAATGGCAGGCAGGCAAACGGGCCGACAGGCTGCAAACAAACATGAGTGCACGCGTGCGTGCTTGCGTGCTTGCGTCGCTGGGCGGGTGGGCGGATGCACGGACGGACGAATGGAATGATGGGTCAATGAATGGCATCCTGTCTGTCCTCCCTCCATGGGTACCATCCTGTATCCCTTTTCAATTCTGCACCTACACGTCTGCATAAGCATATACAAATACAAACTGCTCCGCTGCTTGTATGCCTTTACTTCTGTATATGTGATGGCTGGTCAACATACCTGACCACCCCAAGGAAAGCGACAAAGCAGGTCCCTCTTACGATTGGATCCCCCTCTTTCCCTTAAGGAAATGATTGAACACAAGCCTCCCAATTTCCGAAATGCATACATGTGCATATGCAGCGACACCTTTGCCTCCGGCTCTTTGCCGGATGTCGTTGATGACGGAGCCACCAGGACCTGTCGGGGATGGTCGAGTTTGCGTTTATGGCTTGAGGGTTGTCTCGGAACCCGCTTGGGAACCCTGAAAGGCACTAGCATGTCTGGAACTTGCTCAAAACATGGATCCAAGAGCAGCTTGAATAGCGGCAAGAGCTCAAGAAGAGCAATGGCGAGCATAAACAAGCGGTAAGAAAGCAATGCAACAACAAGTCAGCACACTAAGACAGACAACTTTGCTTTTTCGCGCCTGTCAGGATCGCTTTTGCTGAGAGGCGCCGCGCATGTTGGGTTCTTTCAACCCCTCTCCACCCGAGGTCTTTATAGGATTCTTGAACCTAGGGTTTAGGGCTTTAGGGTTTGGGGTGTAGGGGTTGAGGGTTTAGGCCCTAAATGTAAAGCTTGAAGGTTCCTGAAGTCATCCCTCGCCTTTCAGTTTCCGACTTGCAGGCACACGTGTTGATCAAGCAGCCGCAAAAGCGCGGACGAGTAGACGAGGCCCGGGGTGGGCTCTTTTGTCTCTTCTAGTTCTAAACTGGTAGCGGAGCGCTGCGGCGTTCCAGTAGGTTGTACAGTCAGTTTTGCCTCCGTTCGATGTCGCCCGGCGGCCCTACGAGTTTTTATGCGCACTCCCGAACCTCTCCTGAACCCCCTCTCGGTGACGATTCGACGCAGCAACATAGTGATGGCGTCCGTGACGGTGCTCAAGACCCCGGACATCGTGTCCCACTTCGTGATGATCATGGTGAGCAGCAGCAGCAGTGGACCCCCGACCAGACTCAGGGTCCTGATTCCCAGGCGGACAGCCGCTGGGACGCTTGGAGTGGTGAACATTGGCAATCACGCCAGTGGGGGCACTCCTGGGGATACGGCGGCCATAGCTGGGACGACTCCAGGTGGGCCTGGGGAAACGACTACGGCTATGGGCGCAACGGCGGCCGAGAGGAAGCTTGGGCGAGGAATGGTTCGTCTACCGGAACTGGTTCGTTGGATGGAAGCGGACAAGAGAAGGACTCCAAGGAGACTTTCTCCGATCAATGGGGTCGGAGGACCTCCGCTGGCGAGCCGCCAGCATGGGATGGCCCAGACTATGGGCAACAGCCTCCCGGATGGAGGCCCTCTACAGATGGCCTCGGAAAAGGGTGGCCCCAGGCAGGACGTGGCAACGAGAATTCCAGAGGCCCGTCGGAGAAGATGATCGTGCCGACGTTTTCCGGCGCGATGAACTCTGGAGAAGACGATCTCGGTTCTTCGGCGAGGTCCTACTTGAGGCAGGTGTCGGCGTGGCGGAGAATGACACGGATGAGCAAGGACCAGCAAGGCCTGACGTTGTACCAGCACCTCACCGACAGAGCTTGGATCGATGCGGAGCGCCTAGATATGGATCGCCTGGGCAGCCCCGAGGGCGTCGACTACCTGATTTCTTGGATCAAGGATCGCTACCTGGATGTGCAGGTGACACAAGTGGGCCGAAGCCTGTCGGACTTTTTCCGGCGCCTCCGCAAGCGCGATGGGCAACCTATGAGGGAGTATATGGCGGACTTCGACCGCGCCCACGCGCGGCTGGCTGAGGTGGGCTGCGAGCTCCCAGACATCGCGGCCGCGTGGGTCTTCGTCGACAGGATGTGCCTGGAGGAGTCCGCGGAGCTCAACCTTCTGGCGTCCGTCAATAATAACTACTCTCTTAAGGCCTTGCAGCAGGCGGCGATCGTGCACGACCGCGGCCTCAGGAAGCCCTGGGAGAGCCAGAACCGTGGCCCCAGGCGTGAATGGGGCGGCAAGAAGCCGCACTCGGCGAACATGGCGGACCCCGAGGTGTTCCTCGAGGATTCCCACGACGAGCACCTCGGTGAGCAGGTCTCTGACGAGGGCGAGGGTGTTTCGGAGGAGATAGCAGAGAATCTGTACAATGCCTACATGACTCACGAAACAGCGAAACAAAAGTACAGAGAGAACAGTAAACTCCGGGGAAGCGACCCTGAAGCTCTACGTCGCCTCGCTTCCGAGAAACTCCGACTTGCGAAATCGAGGTCGTTCTGCAGTGGCTGCCGCAGGCGCGGCCATTGGCACCGTGATGCGGAGTGCCCTTTGAACAAGGGCTCAGCGACCTCTACGACGACGGTGCCTTCGAGTGGACAGGGCACTGGGAATGCGGGTGGCATGGCTCGGGACCCCGTGAAGGCCAACTTCCCTTGCCATGTTGTGCATGTTACATGGGATCTTGGAGGCGATGAGGCTGAGAAGTTGCTGGCTATCACGGACACCGCTTGCTCAAAGTCCGTGGCGGGCGCGGCCTGGGTGGACAACTATGTGGAAGAGGCCAAGAGGCGAGGATGTGAACCGCAGTTCATGTCTTGCCGGGAGGCCTTTCGCTTCGGTGCCTCCAAGGTCTTCGTCGCCGGGTACTCGGTGGCGATTTGCTTCTCCCTCGGGAATTTCAAGGTGATCCTCAAGGTCGCAGTGGTGAACGGCGAAGTGCCCCTGTTGGTGTCGAGGCCTGCTTTGGGTCACCTCGGCATGGTGATGGACGTCGCAGAGAACACTGCGACCTTCAAGAAGCTCGGAGTCGTGGACATGGGGCTCCGTGTCACGGATACTGGGCACCCGGCTTTCCCTATTGAGCCAGTGCAGCTGCCTAGGTCCTACCAGCCCCTCTCAAACGGAGAAGGCCCGGAGCTACAGATCTTCCCGAGCGAGTGCCAATACATGGAGGGTCCAGCTTCGCGTGGCTTGAATGTGCAAGGGATCGCATGTGGCATGTCTGTCGAGGGAGCTTGTACGAGTGCTTGCGCTGTCAGTTGGATGACTACTGCACTAATGGAGTCGACCCCAGGTCCCTCACAGTGTGACGGAGTACCCGCTAACAGCCCTCCGAAGAGTAGCTCCGATGTCGAGAGTCACAATGCAGTTGGTGGAGATGTTGAACCTTCGAGTGAAGTAGACCACAAACCAGGCGCTCTGAAGTCAGGCCCCAACGTGTTCTACCCCAAAAAGGTCTCCGCTGTCACAAAGAACATTCTCCTCGATGGCAATTTTAAGGTCGAGAGCTTTGTCAACTGGTGGAAGTCAACGAACATATCCAACGACTTTTGGATAGAAGATGCGGATTTGTTGATTCGGGTACACGTGGTCCCTAGGAGAACGTTCTTCAGTCCTTCAAGTTGGAACACTCAGAATATCGAACAGAAGACCCTCCTTTTGAACAGTCTTGGTGCCGTTAGGTCAGTACAAGCTGTATCATGCAAGACGTATCGGTTGTTTCCTGAAGTTCATGGAACATGGCGTGATGACCGTGATCACTCCTCTTTCCCGATGCTGTGGATTGGCAGAACAGTGTTTCGTAGACGGAGACCCATGCCCGAACTTCCCACACCGACTTCCTCGCTTGATCATGTCGGCCCACTCGGAGCTCCTCACCGCTCCGGTTGTGACCAGGCAGAAGACTCTGTGGGAGCTGACGAAGTCGGAGTTGATCACCGAAGCCCGAGCAAGGGGGCTATGGTTTCACGAATCGTGGACGGCGGTGGAGCTGCGGTCCCTCATTCAGGAGAACCGCCGCGCTGCGCCGAGCAAGCAGTCTCCCTTGAAGGGTCTCTCCGGTCTGAAGGTCGAGGATCTGAAGGAGAAGGCCATGGAGCTCGGCTACAAGCTGCCTCCCCATGCGACTCGTGGAACAATACTCCGGATTCTCCGGGATCAGGACGGCATGTGCGGGGAAAGCTTGATGACGTTCGGCCGCTTCTCGGGCAAGAAGTTCTCGGAGACACCCACCTCCTACCGGGAGTGGGCAGTCCGAGAGGTCTCCTCCCACGACAATCCCTCGGAGGAGCTGGTCCTCTTTGCGAACTGGTGGCAGGCCGAACGCCTTCGTTCGGAACAGGAGGCGAGTTTGCCACGCCCGGGATCCTCGACCCGTCCGGCGAGCTATGTGGACCCAGAGGCCAACGCCCGGACTCCGTATGTCGAGGACACCACGTCGATGGGATCGTGGGACGAGGTGTCGATTCGGTCTCCAATTCGAGAGGGCCATGGAGCTCGACCCAAGGCCAAGGCGGCGGCTCCAACGAGAACACCGGCGGCGCGGCGAACGGCGACTGCGGCGATGGGTCCGGAGAAGGTGTCCATGGAGCAGGACGTCCCCGAGGAGGTGATCGACGAGGTGCTGGACCTGGAAGCGAGGCTTGCGGCTCTCCGAGACCTACATGGAATAGCCCCGCGGACCTGGGACTAGGAGTCACAAAGGAGCCCGACTGCGACGAGGCGCCCGCGGAGACGGGCCCTGAGGTGAGCGAGGAGGCCCTCGGCAAGGACCTCAACGATCAGGCCGGCGAGATAGACGACTACTTGAACTGCGACCTCGATCTAGTGTACCAGGCGGCAGACGGTGGACCCGTCTCTTCTATGAACTCCGGAGGCTGTGGATGTAATCCAGCGTAAGCCCCCCGAAGTGAACAGTGTTTTTGCCGCCCCTGACGTGATGGAGATGTGTGAGAAGACGGCCAAGGAGAAGCTCGCCCTCAAGAAGTTCACCTATGACGACCTCATCGAGATTGCCCGACTCCTACCTCTACGAAAAGTGCACGGGAAGAAGGGATCACGGCGCGGAGGCGGCAGTCCTTATCAGTACTTCCTCGGAGGCATGTACACCTACGGGAAGTTCTTCGGGGTTGCGAGGGGCTCCAAGGCACTCCCCTGGACCACCCGCTACATCAACTCCTTTGCCAAAGAGAAGTTCGACGGACCCTGGACCTCCTTCGTCCTTTTCCGGGACACCGAGACGCAAGTGCACGCCGATGTGCACAACCTTCCGGGAACTTCCGTCACCACGGTCAGCTTCGGTGACTTCACTGGCGGAGAGCTCTGGGTGAAGAACAACGAGGGGACTGGGAAGGTCCTTCGAGATGGTCCCGACGGCAGCCGGCTTCACGGAGATCTGGTGTGCACCAAGGAGTGTCCGCACACCTTCGATGGAAAAGTGCCCCACGCGACTCAGCCGTGGGATGGAGAGCGCTGGGCGCTCT